TACAGCTGACTTCAAATTGAGGATGTTATAGATGGGGATAAAAAAAAAACGTAAAAGAGGAGAAAGAAAAATGGGTGGGTGTTGTCACCATTGGCTAATAAACCTGTATCTACGAAGCCTTTGTCAACATGTGGTGGGAGGGGGAAGAGAGAAGTAATTTATTGAGATGTGGTTATTTCTATACATAGTCTACATGAGCTGAAATTCAGACCATGAGAAAATGCTGATGTGTTAATTATAGAAAGACTTTATTATGGAAGTTTGTCCAGTACCATACACACACTTTCCCCCTCTTCCCCCCTTCTTAGTATGTGTGCATTAAAAGAAATGGAGGCAAGGGAAGATGGCTGAGAGGATGCTTTTTTGATCATTGCAATTGGAAAACATTGAGTACAACTCAGTTTCTTGTCCTTCTATAACCTAGCACGTCATTGAAATGAAAGCCTTCTCATCCTTGCCGAACTCTTTATCTTTTGTGAAAAACATAAAAGCTTTCTTCTTTTTAAAATATAGGATGTCCGAAGTTTTCCTGCAAAAAAAAGGGTTCCTGACAGGAATTAAGGTTTTCCCTGGCTTCCTTACCACTGCTTCCCAGTGGACATCACTGTTTTTAGCCCCATTAGGTCTGGGGGGGAAGATGATATCTCGGAATAGCCGGAGGGGAGGAAAGGGTGCTGTTCAGTTTTGAAGCGACATTTCCCAGAGCAAAGAGACAATTTGGAGGAAAGTCACTACCAATAGTCACTATTACTAAAGCCCTGCTGGAAAAGTTTCCCATTGATAAACTGAGAAATTGGATCTACCAGCTTCCCCTAGCTCAGCTCTCCTAAGCCAGCTCCCACAAGCTCCTCATGAGGTAGTGGGAGTTCGAAAGGTTTTGCCCCCCTTGAAAAGATTGAAACACTGAATCACTGAAACAGCAGCGTCTTCTTCTAGGATCTTCAGACAATGCCTCAGGCACCAAAACGGGACAGAGGATGCTTGTGTCAGTGATGCACAATTCCTGACTTCATCCTCCACCTCCCTACCTCAACTCCTCCTCCCCCCAACACTTCCTCTGCTCCCCAAAAGCGGTGGCTGCCACACTTGGGGAAAGAGGAGATGGAGGGAGTGTAACAGGATCTTTTTTTTCCAAGAAAAAAAATAAAAGAAAAAAAGACATTGACTCTATTTGCAGAGGATTTCTTCACTTACCAGAGCCGTGCCCACTGAGAAAGCTGCCATCAGATATGCCATGCCCCGGGGGCGGTGGCCAGGGGACAACAGAGCCAGGCTCCCGCTGCAGGCGGTGGTGCAGAAGGGGGAGGCAGCCCCAGCAGATGGGAAAGAAGAGAGAGGAGGGAGAAGGAGGAGGAAGGAAGGGAGGAGGGAAGAGGGAGGAAGAAGGAGGAAAAAGGCACCTTTTCAGGCTCTGGCTTATTGTTTACCAGCGCTCCCTCTTCCCTGCCCCCAATGCACCGCTCAGTGCTTCACTGTCTCCAAATAGGCTCCAGTGATTGGACTAACCAAGAGAGGGGGCGGGGTTACTTGCAGGTAAACGTGCTCTTGTTTTCCTCCTTCCCATCTGTGTGATTCACTAGTCTGCCTTTCTGTTATTCCTCACAGAGGTTTTTCCTTATCTTCCTGCCTCTCTCCCGCCTCCATTCTGGGTCGCTATCTATAGATGGGGAAGCATGCAAAAGAGAGTGGGGGAGGGAAGTATGCATGAACAGGACAAGAGATGCTAATGCTGGGTACGTTAGTGTTTGTTATAGCAGACCCTAATAAGGTACGTCTTAACAAATCTCTGCTTTCCAAAAACCTGCTTGAGATTTAACTGAAGGTAGCAATTAAAATATTGTGATCAGTTCTAGTTTTAGAAAGACATTGGTAAGCTAGAGAGTGATCACAGGAGGGCAACTAGGATGGTGAGGAGCTTTGTTGTACATGTTATGTGAAGATAGGTTAAAGAACCGGAGTATGTTTAGTTCAGAGAAAAGAAGATGGGGATAACAGATTAGTTGTTTTCAAGTATTTGAAGGACTATCATGTGAAAGAAAGATTAAGTTTGTTCTTTTTTGCCCCAGAAGGCCAAATCAGGAGCAATGGTCGAAAACAGGCTAATTTAAACTTGCTCTCAGTTTAAAAAAATCTTCCTAAAAATGCAACTGTCCAAAAGTGAAATGGGCTGAGAGTTGATATGTCACCCTCCTTGGAGATCTTCAAGTAGAAGCAATTTGAAGTGTTACAGGGGAGAGTTCTTTCACCTATGGGTTGAAATAGATGGCCTTTATGTTTCCTTTGAGCTCTCAAGTCCTGCAAATTTGATAATTTCTGAAGTGTAAATGTGGGTGCTTTTAGACTGAATAATGGTTCATATTAATATCATGTTCTTTTTAACAGGATTTTGAAGTAAGGAGTGCAAGTGCTTGCTATTAGTCCCATTTCACATATGAGAAAACTGAGGCTAAAAGTGATTAAGGGACTTCTCCATGCTCACTAGGCTAGTTCAGAGTCTGAACCTGAAGTCTTGTGTTGACTCCAAATTAAACTCTCCTTACACTATAAAATATGTACTTAAGTTGGGTATATATTCAGATTATTGCATTTCTCCATTTAGTTTGTAAACTCTTCCAGAAGTAAAACTTTGGCTGTGCTTTTAAATTTTTTTCTTTCTTTTATTATAAATTTAAACATCAGCAAACATTTCAATACACAAAAAAGAGGATTATATAAGAAGCTATGAAGTATTATATCCATTTTGTTTATTACGGTGTGTATTAAATTTAACTTGATAGAAACAAGACTATCCTGCCTGTCTGTGTGCCCTTCTAAACTTCCTTGAGCTTTATTCTGTGATTATTTTAAATGTTTAACATTGTCAGTCTTTTCTTTCCCTTCTTTTTTTTTTAAATTCACTGTCATTATCCATCAACTTCCTCTCACAAATCTCCCTCATCCTATCCAGAATGAAAGCTTCCCTTTAAAACAAATAAGTATAGTTAAGCAAAACAAAACAAAACAAAACAAAAACAAAAAAACCACCTAATATTGGCCAAGTCCAAAAATTTATCTTCACCTACAATCCATCACCTTACTGGTAAGAGATGAGAAACATGATTCATCATCAGTCTTCTGAAGTCATGAGTTGTCATAGCACTAATTGGAGTTTGTTCCCTTCTCAGTATCAGGTCATACAAATTTTCTGAGTCTGTCCCTTTCATCCTTTCTAGTGTAATAATATTCCATTACATTAACATATGATAAATTATCCATACAGTCCTCAGTTAATGAGCATCTCCTTTTCTGTTATTTGCTGTAACAAAAATGCTGCTCTAAAATTTTTGTACATATGAGTACTTTTACTCTGTTTTTTACCACTTTGGTGTATATGCCTCCTAAAGAGGTAGCTGGGCAAAAGATAGAGTTTAGAGACTTGGAAGTATAGTTCTTAATAGTTTTATCATCTCCACTAGCAGTACATTAGCTTGCCTGTCCTCCATATCCCTAACAATAATTATAATTTTCTTTTTTTAGTCATCTTTGCAAATTTGATGAGTGTGAGGTAAAATCTCTGAGTTGTCTGAATTTGCATTTCTATTATCATTATTGATTTGGAGCATTTTTTTCCCCACATGGTTGTTGATAGTTTTCATTTCTTCTTTTGAAAATTACCTGTTCATAAGTACAATAATACTGTGTTCAATTGTTGCTGCATCTTGTAGATATGTTCCAATGATCAACTTTAGATGATCATTGCTTTATAGTATATTTTGAGATCTCGTATTCTAGGCACCCTTTATTCTGACCTTTTTTTGTGTGTCCCTTTCATTCTTGACATTTTATTCCTCCAGATGAACTTTGTTGTTATTTTGACTAGTTTGATAAAATAAATCCTTGGTAGTTTGAATAGTATGGAATATATATGTATATGTATATATATATGTATATATATGTGTGTGTGTGTGTGTGTGTGTGTGTGTGTGTGTGTGTAATTTCTCATGTATTACTGTGGAGTCCAGATGAAAAGTTTCATCCCACAAAGAGATAACTCTAACAAATTTTATTGCTAATACAAAGGAAGAAAGAAAATAGATGCTAGTAGCTATGATGCAGCCTCCATGTCTACAGTGGGTAGCATACAGGAGGAATATCAAGTCAAACACCCAGAAACCTTCAGGGTTTGACCTTACATAAGTAAAAGAACCAGTATGACACCAAAATGAAGATTTTTCTAAATTACTAATAAGGAGGGAGGAATGAGGATATGGGAAGTAGGAAAGTTAACCCTAATGGTATTATTTCATTAAGAGGTTGAAAGGGGGATCTGGGGCCATACTAATAAAACTATTTTTCACTGGTCAAAATATAATTTATATTATATTGCAAGACCCAAATATGAACAATTAATATTTTTCTAATTACTTTAAATTTACCTTTACTTCTTTCAAGAATCTCTTATAGACGTATTCATATCATTCTTCAGTGTGTTTGGTAGGTAGTCTCCCAAATATTTCATATTCTGTAGTTACTTTGAGTAAAATTTCTTTTTCAGTTTCTTCTTACTGGATTATATTGTTCATGTACAGGTTCATGATTTTTGGTGGGTGTCTTTTATACCCTGATACTTTATGGAAGGTATGAATTTTTCTAATTAATTTTAGTCAAATCTCTAGAATTCTTTCAGTGAAACATGGTATCATCTGCAAAAGTAATAATTTTGTTTCTTCTTTGCCTGTCCTTATTCCCTCAATTCATCTTATTGTTACCATTTCTAGAAATCTCAAAAAATAGTAGTAATAATGGGCAACCTTGCTTTATCCCTGGTCTTATTGAAAAGATCTCTAGAAATTTTCCATTACAAATAATATTATCTCTTGGTTTTCAATAGAATTCTCCTTCTTTTGAACTCTCATAGCACTTTTTACTTTTCTTAGTTACTTTGTAATTAGTATTATATTGATTTACGAATAGTGTGAGCTTTTTGAGAATAGGGATAGAAAGTCTTCCATTCACATATTTTGGCAAGCACAAGGTTATATGCTGCCTGTTGGAGTTGAGTAGCAGTACTATTTATCTGTAAGTTCATTGTATGCTACCAGCCAAGGAAAAGTAACATAGATACAGATGCTACATAACACCAAAACTACTGTAATTTCCAAGAGACAAAGGTTAATACTGAGGGAGCTAGACTACATCATCAGTTCTTGGATGACTGGCAAAGTCTCTACATTTTAAGGGTGATATGAGATATGAATAAAGAGCTTAATCCTCAGAGACTAAAGCTTCATTCCACGGAAGGGTACCTTGTTGTTGAGACAATGGCAATAAGATTATACAATTAATGGAGTAATATACTATTACATATATATATAAATATGACTAATTCCATATATGATACTAATAAGCATCTGATATTTTCCAAGGAATTTTGTTGTATATGCATGAAGACATTGCATGATGGCTTTAGATATTTGTGTCAAGAGAAAACCTTTAACAGATTTTTCTGCTTCATAATAGTAGAGGATGTCTATAAGAAATGTGAAATTTGTGTCTCATATGATCAAAAGAAAGTGTTACCAACCCACATTGACTACTATGAGAGTGAAAGTACCAGCAAGCATTTGGAACTTCTGGGTAGTGACTTTTTTAATCTAAAAGAAGTTAGTAAGAACATAAGCCATATCCTAGGACCATTTTCCTTAGTTTTCACAGGCTTGTGCAAATAGGGACGAGAAAAGCTTCAATAGTTTTTAATGTGTTGTGGTAGAAGATCTTCCTACCAATATCTACCCTGACCAAAGAAAGGGTGGGTTCAAAACCATACCACACAATTTAATTCTGATACCTTCACTAAGTGAGAAATTTCACAATCAAAAAAGACCTTAGAGTAAGTGTGAAGTGTCTTTGACACCAGATAAAAAGTCTATTCCAATTGACTGATGAATTTTGTCACACCCTTGAGTTGTTGAATGAAAGCACCAGGGAGTTCCAACAAGTGGTAGGGTTATTCAATTATTTGAGAGGTTGAAGCATGCATGTCTTTCCAGTAAAACTGAAAAGGAACTATCTGGGGATTGGGAGGAGAGAGAGGCAGTAAGAAGATGCCTTGGCTTTGGTCTTGGCTTCAGCCTTGCCTAGGTTTTCTACCATTCCCCTCCCTTCACTCTGGCCTAAGGAAAGCCTTGAGCTTTAAAAAGTCTGAAGGATGTTGGATTTCCCATCTTTCCATTGGTGTCCTAGGGATATCCCCACAACAACTGATAGCTGTGTCTGTGTTGGGAGTTAAGGACAGGGATCAGCAAAGAAGCTACACCATGCCTATGGGGAACTTCTTGAGTACGCCACCAAGGAGAGAAAAGGATGTCCAGCAACCAGTCAATCAATAAACATTTATTAAGTACCTGTGTGTTAGTACTGTGCTAAGCACTAGGGAAACAAAGAATGGTAAAATAAAACAAAACAAAAATAATCCCTGCTCT